CATCCCCTGTCTCTTATACCCATCTAGATGTGTATAAGAGACAGCACTTGCCCTTCGCCCCCCCCCCAATCAGCCCCTCATTTCAAGAGTCCTAGAGACGCCACTGCATTACATATCCGTACACCCATATTATGTTACCAATCGTACAGAAGTGATTCTTTGGTTGAATTCTTTTTTCTCCAACACAGGCCTCGTAGACGTAGTGATGCCGACTCTGCTATGAATTAAATTTAAAAATATGCATTAAATGCAAATTCCGTATTCGCCTGTCATTATTTTTGTATAATTGCGTTACCGTAATGAATACGGAGATAGAAAGTATAGTATAAAATGGCAAGTCGGAGTGGCATAATTTTTGCATAATTGATGCGGTAGAATTGTCATGATACGCTGGGGACGTCACTACACTGTGTCAAATAGGAAATGAACAAAATAAAGAACACGCACGGGACTCGTCAAGTGCGATGAGGCGTAACGATTACGTTCGTCGGTGCATTCGAAGCCTAGATGTTGCGGAGTTTAGTATTGAGTTGATATTGTTCGTAGGAACCAAGGGAATTATACATGCTGCCGATCCTAAGCTGTGTACGTTGCCATGAAGATTAGCGACGGATTTCACGTGATGTTTTTGCTGACGATACATGCCATATTTTACGGTAATGTCAACCAATAATTTAACTATTTTTTGCTCACAAAAAATTTAAAGCACGTATAAAATTGATATTTAATCTGCATTTATGTTTTTAATTGTTTATTGATTGTTTGTTTGCGTGATTATGTCACGGACGCAATCTTGACGCATCTTGGTGGGTATGTATGTATATTTGTATATGCATATATATATACACTGTATACATATTATATATACAATAGTGGTTAATATGCATAGCCTATATAATTTATACAAAGTGAAATATATTATTATACCAAGGAAGAAAGAAGATGCCCGACCCTAATATTTATACCTTTTAAAGTGATTAAATATTGATCTAAGGTATGTCCCAGTTTACCAAGAACAAATTCATTTGAACCATGCAAACTACCGCACTATCCATTTAATTTGTTTTAGATTGCACTTAGCATTGATGCAATGAAAGATATATTGCTATCTATTTAAAATGCACTGACCAGTTACAAAGAAGGTTGAAAAGAATTGCTTTATATCAGTAAATATAGCAGCCAAGCAAAGATAAAATATAATTTACTGTACTTTCCATTATAGCTCTTTACGCAATCGTTAGGTTGTATCGAGGCAATTAGCAGCTCAAATAACCAGAAAACAAACCAGTTTTCTTTAAAAAGTTACTGTTACTACATTGCTGCTGCTGCTGCCGCTGCTGCTACTACTACTACTGCTTCTGCTGCTGCTACTACTACTACTACTACTACTACTACTACTACTGCTGCTGCTAGTACTACTACTACTACTGCTTCTGCTGCTACTAATACTACTACTGCTGCTACTACTACTACTACTGTTGCTGCTGCTGCAGCTGCTGCTACTACTACTACTACTACTACTACTACTGCTACTACTACTACTGCTGCTACTACTGCTGCTGCTGCTGCTACTACTACTACTACTATTGCTGCACTACTACTGCTGCTGCTGCTGCTACTACTACTACTGCTTCTGCTTCTGCTGCTACTACTGCTGCTGCTGATGCAGCAGCTGCTACTACTTTTCCATTACTGCTACTACTTACTATTCTTTCAATTATTATTATTATTATTATTATTATTATTATTATTATTATTATTATTATTATTATCATCATTATTATTAATATAATCATCATTACCAATATTATCATTATGATAATTGTGATTACCATCATCATCATCATCATCATCATCACCACCAACACCACCACCACCACCACCATCACCACCACCACCATCATCATCATCACCATCATCATCCTCATCATCATCATCATCATCATCATCATCATCACCATCACTACCACCACTATCACCGTAACAATTACTACTACTAATGCTGCTGCCGTCACCGCTGCTACTACTACTACTACTACTACTACTACTACTACTACTACTACTACTACCACTACCACTGCTACTACTACTTCTATTAAGGAACTGCTGCTGCTTGCTGCTGCTGCTACCACTATTACTACTGCTGCTACTACTACTACTACTACTACTACCACTACTACTATCTTACCACCACACTACTACTCATTGCAGCAACACTGCTGCTACTAATACCGCTACCTACTTGCTATTCCCTACATTATTATTATTATTATTATTATTATTATTATTATTATTATTATTATTATTATCATTACTAATATTTTCATCATTACTAATCACCATCATCCTCATCATCACCCATCAGTATTAATATAATTAATATAATTCGAATAATTTCATCTTGTTTGCTTATTATGACCGTAGAATTATTTAATTGACAATAAACCAAGCACGACGGATGTAAACTTACTGCGAGATTTCGCCGATGACTTCAACATAACTTTATCTGTCTATATTATATACTATAATATTATTAATTGTTATTACTGTATTTATTTTTTATCACATGCAATTGAACGCTTATATGTAAAAAGTGTCAGAACAAAACCGGTTGTTATATAGTGACAGATCAATTTCACGGATGGAGATGTTTATTAGCAAAGTTCTTCATTTGTGTCAATTTGTATTATATACATTAGATAGGCCGCCTTTTGAGAACACTCCGTGTTTATTAACGCAGAAGTATATGCTTCAAATCAAGGTATCGTATTTCGAAGCTTAAGTCCAAAATCTGTGTTTTACGTTAGACTGACGAATTTCATTATTGGTAATCGATATATATTGCGATGAAGTCTGTTTTGCTAACCATGCAGACATTGGGTAGATAACTTTGTTTCATTGTCCTTCTTCATTCATGAGTGTCTGAGATATATGAGAAAAATACAGATTGTATTAATATTATTGCTCGAGTTTTGTACAGTACCAAGACTAGCGTAAAGATAATGATGTCTACATTGTTATGTAAATTAAGAGCTGCAGAAGAGGAAACATTTACTATTATTTGTTCTTTTACTTGTAAACAATAAAAATATAATCATAGTTCTTATTGATTCAGCTACGCATTACAGGATACGAAATTGAGGCTTTCTAAAAACACGCAATAATTTTTTTTTTGCAACATCACAAAAAAATTGATTTTGCTTCACTAAAGGCCAAAGGCCTATTTTTCTTTTTAATATATTTTATCGAATATAAAATATCGAATGTAAAATAAACATAATGAAAAAAACCTATTGAAACTTGAAACCACGATCGATACAATAATCAAGCATGCAATATATTTCGACATCTGATGGATTTCAGGCTGTGGCGTAAATAGGTTCTGAGTGTCCCTGGTTCGAGAGACTGTCCTAGACATTTAAAGCATATTTGCCTACTAGTCTAATTTTACAGTTAGCAATTTTTTTTTATACTGAAGTAACCTAATAACTAAGTAAAACCATCCCCGGCGAACATCATCCCTTGCCCGAATCGTTATGAAAATAATTATTGACAAAATCGAAGTCCTACAGGACGGACCATTCTAGAATTACTGAGTCTAGGTTTCGGGAGCGGAATATAAATTCTTAATGTATCATTATACTGACGTCGTATACTTTTAGTTAAATCGATAGGCCAAGTAAAACTAGGTGTTCATTCGAATATTATTCTGGTATTGAATCAATGTTTGGGAACGGAATAATGATAAAACATGGATGGCGCCAGCATTACCCTGACAGTTTGGTCCATCGTTCGCCACCATGGTTAGGGCTGAGAAAAAAAATCAATAGGTTATGTCACCTCTAGATGCCCGAAAGTGGCACTCTCTGGCTTAGATATTTCGAATTCATTTTTTCCCCGACATGTAAAATACCACGACCCCCAATGGACGGGAGCGCCCAGATTGTACACCCACTGGCGCCATCCTTGAAAGGTATCATCTCTGAAATGAAATGTTCAGTTTTCGTACTTCGTTAATAGAAATGCTCACACACAGATCACCTCCAGAGTATGGCTGACTTGGTCGCCGGGGGTTTCATGACGGCCCCTGTCGTAATACCTTATAAGCTCACAAGGACATAATAATCTTACCGGCAAGGCGTACGAAAACATTGGGCCTGTACTCAGAGATAGGCCCTTTTAAATTCTATTAAAGTTTGATACAACTAGACACAGAAGTTAGTACCATGACTCAAAATAATGACCAAATCATGCGATACCTATTTTAAAACATGTGAATATAATACAGTGTATTACGAGAATGGAAAGTACCGTATAATGTTGCAGATCAATTCATAATTAGATGAATTGAAATACTTAATCATTAATGAATAAATACTGTGCATTCAAGTTACAATATTAATAACAATGACAGTAGATATTTACACAAGTAATTAAAAAGGAGAAAATGCTATGATACGTAATGAATTAAAATTGTCACATTCGGCTTGAGGCATAACGTGTTTAATTACGCTCGTTAGATGTACGGCTACTATTGAATTATATCAAGTTTTTTAAATAACAATAAACCTTGTGTGTTTGCTTGTGGTAGGTCTTAACTTAACCAATTACCTTACGAGTAGTTTTAATTATTTAGTCAATTCTTGGTTTATTAAATACAGACAAGCCATGGAGGTATACATCCATGTACAGATCTATCCAGTGGTAAAGGTATCAGCAAATTTTTACAACTAGTTAAAAGATTATATTTAATTGATTATTTGTAACCATTTTACAGTATTACATAATACTAATAGACCTATTATCAAATAAGGTTTTATATAGGTGGTTCATTTACGATCTAGTCCTTAGATTATTTTATTTCTGGACCTCTTGGCCCCCAGTTCACCGAACCGCCCGAGCCACCAGTAGTTACTGGTTAATAAAAAAGAAACCCCTGTGACCCTTGAGCTTTTTCCAGGAGTTAATTGTATATATAAGGCTGTAGTAGGGTCCAAAGTAAGTTATTTCTTCAACATTATTTTTTATTTTATTTTTTTTTATTTTATTTCAAATCACGCCCAACAGCGGGTAACTCGCCACTTACAGAATGGATTAACAATAATATAAATAAATAAATAAATAAATATATAAATCAGAAGCATCATAAGAAAAAAGGCCACAAAAAATCATTAAAAAAAAGCAATAAAACAGTAAAAAATGTAGAAGGCAAGGGCTAAATAAACCTAAGAAATATTGAGAGATTTGTACCTCTAATGCATAACATCTCCACGTTGGAACACATGTACTATTTGCACAGAACTCGAGAGAGTGGGTGAAATTCTGTTTGATTTGGAAACAAATAGAAATGGTCATGTGACCAATATCGATTATTAAATTACAAAACGGTGTTAATGTTTTCGTGAGTTTGCCATTGATTACTCAGTAGCCTAAATATTCTTTGAGTAGCCCAAGGACTTTTAACTGTTACCAGGATAGTAAGCTGGCTGGTTTATGCCGTCTAACTTGAATTAGCCTTATGTGCGGTATTGTTATGCAAATGAGCCAGATAAGCACAATCTGCACATGCTCAGAAAAACAAAACTTTCCTTAGCAACACCATGGCCACACTGCGTATCGGCTAGGCGTACGGTAAACAAAGCAAAATAAGGGTACT